CCTACCCCAATCCATCAGACTGTCACCTACCCTACTCACCTTCAGGCACACCCTGAAAATCCATCTCTTCAGGGAAGCCTACCCCACCCTCACCTAAAAACCAATCTTCTCCACTCCTCTTACCACTCCATCTCCCATAGCCACTTCCTCCTGTACCACTTCCCCCTCCCTCCTAGATTGTAAGCTCGAAAGAGCAGGGCCCTCGAACCCCTCGTGTATTGTATTGTTACTTTATTGTCTCATGTACTGTCCCCCCACTCTAATGTACAGCGCTGAGCTATATAAACACTGTGTAATAATAATAATATAATGCATCTGCAGGGAAACCACGTAGTCTCTTTGACCATGTGGTTTCCCGTGATTGCAATGCAAGCTGAGATGCGTGGGGGTGCCATTCAGAATGTCATTTCTGAATGGCAGTGATTCAGAATGAATGGCAGCCCCGCGCGTCTCCTAATAGCAGTGTGATTGAGCTGCGGGTGGTTGTGGGAACTGATGTGATTCCGGCACCCAGAACACACAATGTGGGGTAGTGTGAACCTAGCCTTAATGATTACAGAGCTGCATTCATTTGTGTCTTTTATAGCTGGCTGGAGTTCAGCGTAAACAACACATGTGCAGCCCTATGGACAAGGAGAGGTGATCTTTACTTATTTAGTATCTGTCCACCAAGTCCAGGAGTCACATTCATTGACTAATACATCATGTTAACACTACAATGTTGTATGGAATCCTGTATGCACACTGCATTAAAAACTATCATTACTATCAATTATTACACATATAAACACAAATTATTTTTACAAAGCAGGTGGCAATCTTTTTTTTTTTCTTTTCAACTGGTAATGGGATCAAGGGGGGTCACAGCAGAAAAACAACAAAAAACCTGAGAAATACAGCTCCATATGGCATTCAGGCTTGTTGTGTCTTATGTCAATTGCAAGTTCTCTCTTCACATTGCTTTGCTGCCATCTAGTGATCATTAATGATTATGGCAGGCTTTAGTCCCTCCAAAAGATGCCTAGGTAATTTCAGTATGTTAAAGGCCAAGTCCACCTTTGGAGCGTTTTACACATTGCACCCAACCCATGTTCCAACCAGGGGCGGACTGACCATTTGGAAACTCGGGCACTGCCCGAGGGCCCAGGGTCAGTAGGGGGCCCCATGAGATGCCCCTGGTACCTTTTTCATAGGCTTTTTTGAGTTTGGGCAAGGACACGGGCCCCATGATCCCCTATTGCCCGGGGGCCCCATGAGTTGTCAGTCCACCCCTGGTTCCAACTCATGCCCTGCTCTCCCCCCTCATCACTTCCACTGTGAAAGCAGGTTGGGGGATCCTCTCCCTACACTCACTGTCACATTTTAAAAATGACACCTGCGCAGGACTCTGCCTGCACAGGGATTCATGAATGAATAACTTACAAGTCCCTCCTGCCACTGTGGCAGATGACTTGTAATTTCAACTAGGAGGGCACTGATGAGCACCGTTGGAGTTCATTGACACTTCCTAAAGCTTTCTAACAGAAAACCTAAGGAGATATCGGCAAAAATCTGTAGGCAGTGTGTACAGGAGCCTGACATTGCAACTGTGATCCATTGATTGCAGGTGCAATGCTTTGCAGTCTCCTGTAGGAAAAAAATAAAAATGCACATTTTTTTCTGAAAAAATATGTGCATTTATTATTTTTTTCCTAAAAGGTGAACCTATTCTTTAAAGTGACACTAAACTAAACTAATAGGTAATATAATATATATATTGCCAAAAGTATTGGTCGGCCTGCCGTTACACGCACATGAACTTTAATGGCATCCCAGTCTTAGTTCGTAGGGTTCAATATTGGGTCCGCCATTTGCAGCTATAACAGCTTCAACTCTGCTGGGAAGGCCGTCCACAAGGTTTAGGAGGGTGTCTATGGGAAGGTTTGACCATTCTTCCAGAAGCACATTTGTGAGGTCAGGCATTGATGTCGGATGAGAAGGCCTGGCTCGCAGTCTCCATTCTAATTCATCCCAAAGGTGTTCTATCGGGTTGAGGTCAGGACTCTGTGCAGGCCAGTCAAGTTCCTCCACCCCAAACTCGCTCATCCATGTCTTTATGGCACCTTGCACTGGTGTGCAGTCATGTTGGAACAGGAAGGGGCCATCCCCAAACTGTTCCCACAAAGTTGGGAGCATGAAATTGTCTAAAATGTCTTGGTATGCTGATGTCTTAAGAGTTCCCTTCAATGGAACTAAGGGGCCAAGCCCAACCCCTGAAAAACAACCCCACACCATAATCCCCCCTCCACCAAACTTTACACTTGGCACAAAGCAGTCAGGCAAGTACTGTTCTCCTGGCAACCGCCAGACACAGACATGTCCATTGGATTGCCAGACAGAGAAGCGTGATTGGTCACTCCAGAGAACACATCTCCACTGCTCTAGAGTCTAGTGGCGGCGTGCTTTACACCACTGCATCCAATGCTTTCCATTGCACTTGGTGATGTAAGCCTTGGATGCAGCTGCTCGGCCATGGAAACCCATTCCATGAAGCTCTCTATGCACTGTTTTGTGCTAATCTGAAGGCCACATGAAGTTTGGAGGTCTTTAGCTGTTGACTCTGCAGACAGTTGGCGACTTCTGCATACTGTGCGCTTCAGCATGTACTGACCCCACTCTGTTATTTTATTTGGCCTACCACTTGGTGGCTGAGTTGCTGTTGTTCCCAGTTGCTTCCACTTTGTTATAATATCACTAAAAGACTGTGGAATATTTAGTAGCAAGGAAATTTCACGGATGGACTTATTGCACAGGTGGAAACCTATCACAGTACCACGCCTGAATTCACTGAGCTCCTCAGAGCGACCCTTTCTTTCACAAATGTTTGTAGAAGCAGTCTGAATCCAATAATTTGGAGGGGTGTCCCAATACTTTTGGCAATACCGTATAGTGTATATGAAGCTGCACTGCCATGTCTGGGATCGTTAGGAATTATATGAACCTGGGAACTTGCTGCACATAGCACACCATGCCAAGGGACTGGTGTGACCAAAATATTGGTGTGTAGTTTACCAGTGACAATCTGACAAGCATATGGATCTGCATGACAGCCTTGAAACTGCCATCAGGCACACTTTTATGTTCGTGGGACAACAAGTGCTGTGAATATTCACATGTAATATTAGTGACCAGGGCCATCTTAGGAATAATATGTCACAAAGGTCAAAGCAGTACTTAGATCTCTATTGCTGGGGGCCAACAGAATCCTCTGACTATGGTGATGATGGTTAGCACTGACTAGTCATCTGATCACAGATAACACTGCTTAATTTTCCACAAGATACAGTCCTCACTACGGAACATGTCACCCGGCCCATCTTACTAACTGTTCTGTGGGCAAAAAGTGCAAGATTTGCCTTTAAGCTATAAAAAGGACCCAAATGTCTACTTTGATGTTACTTTTCGCTATATTGCCTTTATATTTTGATGTTTCTGAGTGAACTTTGGCTTTTTTATTTTCTGCCTCAACACCCCTCTCTGTTAGTCTATGTGGGTTATTTACTAAAACTGGAGAGTGCAAACTGTGGTTCAACTCTGCATAGGAACCAATCAGCTTCCAGATTTTATTGCCAAAGCTTAACTGAACAAGCTGAAGTTTGAAGCTGATTGGCTACCATGCACAGCTGCACCAGATTCTGAGTGCATCAATTTGAGTAAATCTACCTCTATATGTCAAAACACACATAGGTATTTAGAGGTGGAGGAGTTTAGAGGCAGAAAATGAACCCAGTGCCAGTGCATTCAGGAGAGGAGCGTTCAGGGGAAAAAAGCCTGACGCGCCTTAACCTCCTTAGCGGTTTTCCCGAGTGTAACTCAGGGTAAAATTTCTATACCAAAAGCGGTAACCACGAGCTACACTTGGGCTTACCATGCGGCGTTCTCTGGGGGTCCCTGCAGCACTTACCTTGTGCTTCGCTCCCGCGATGTGTCCCCTGCAGCGTCCCCGGCCATCTCCTCTGGCCGATGCCGTCATCCGGCTTCTGTGTTCCGGTCCCTGTGACGTCGGGACGTACGGGCGCCGGAACCGGCAGGAAATTTGAATTTTTTAAAAAATGTCATTTTTGCTGTCATTGCTATTTCAATGCATTTCACATACATTTTGTCCCTACTGCTTTGTCCTGTGCCCTGCCTGCATTTTTACTGTTCTTTCTGCCTGGAAACTTAGAAAAGTCCATGGCGTCCAAAAAAGCGTCCCTTTACGTCAAAAGCGGTTTTAGAACAGCGATAGTAAATCAGAACCACTTGCAGAATTGAGTGATAATGATTCGTGGGGAAATTCGTCATCAGACACTGAAAACGATTTTGCGACTTTGCTCAGCGATGTGCGAATTTGCCTCTGTATTTCAAATTTCAGTGTTTTTGGTTTGATTATATTATTGAATTCAATTTATTATTATTATATTATTATTTTTTTATGATTATTTATTAAATTATAATTTATGATTTCGTGTTTCAAATTTTTTTTCATATCCGGAATGTTTACTAGACTCTTGTTCGGACAGATTTCAGTGAGTTATTCCTAAAAATTACAGCCTACAATAAAAAACTACATATTTCCATGCAAAAAAATGGTACCGCTTTCAGCACAAAAAATCGGAAAGAATCATACGGCCGAGGAGGTTAATGCAAGTAAACGCATGTAAACACATCTAAGCGCTAGGCGCATTTAGCACGTGAGTGTTCATTCATTCCAATGGCCAGAATAAATTAATATTTTGGCCATTGGAATGAATGATTGCCCAGATGCTTGATACGCCTTAACACATCTAAACGCTTTGCAAAATGCAGCTTTAGGTGTATTTTAATGCTGCTTTTCCCTCTCCTGGAGCAACGGTGTCCAGGGGAAGAAAAAAAATATCTGTGAGCATGAGACCTTTCATGTAAACTTTAACTTGATCCCTAAATATATCAAATGTGCACAGCATACACAAGCATGAAATTAAGATTTGTTCAGAACTTACTGAAATTCCAAAAGCTGCCTTTTTCTTGCCAAATCGTTGAAGAAACCATTGCCAGAAGGGGATGCTCATGACAGCGGAGATCTGAAGACAATGAAAAGTCATCATATATTAAACATGAAGATAACAAGAGCCAATGTGCTGGAACTATCACTACAGATTGTCCCCACATTATGTAAACCTTAGGTATATCCCACAGACTTGAGCATAAGCTGAAACAGTTTTGATCTTGCTGGGCTTATACAGACAGTGAGATCTATATATTTAACAAATGGCCATACAGTGACAGACCAGTCTTCTCAGGTCTTCGTGTGGCTTAGAGGACCACTGAAGCCCTGGAGATGAGGAAATGCGAGTATTTTACCAGGGTGGTAGGAATGAGGGATCCAATAATGTTTCTTTTCCCAGGTATTTTATATATATATATATATAATATACAGTATATACAGTTGTGTTCAAAACAATAGCAGTCAGACATCACTAACCGATCAATCACTGTTTTTGGAAGAAATAATATTTCTACATGGCAAATAATTTACTAGCAGGTGTAGTAGAGTAATAGAAATCCAACAGACCCAACAGTCATGACATGCATGCTGCTGATTCTGTGTAATTGAATCACTAATTGAAAGGGGCATGTTCAAAATAATAGCAGTGCGGAGTTCCATTAGTGAAGTCATTCATTCTTTGAAAAACAGGCGGCAATTATTGCCCTTATTTAAGGAAGGAAGGCAGCAAATTTTGTACATGCTGGTTACAGTGCATTTCTCTCTGAAATTCTAAGGAAAATGGGTCGTTCCAGACATTGTTCAGAAGAACAGCGTACTTTGATTAAAAAGTTGATTGGAGAGGGGAAAAAACATATAAAGAAGTGCAGAAAATGATAGGCTGCTCAGCTAAAATGATCGCAAATGCTTTAAAATGGCAACCAAAACCTGAAAGACGTGGAAGAAAGCGAAAAAACTACCATTCGAATGGATAGAAGAATAGCCAAAATGGCAAGGACTCAGCCAACAATCAGCTCCAGGAAGATCAAAGAAGGTCTAAAGTTACCTGTGAGTACTGTTACAATTAGAAGACACCTATGTGAAGCCAAGCTATCTGCAAGAAGCCCCCGCAAAGTCCCACTGTTGAAAAAAAGACATGTGCTGAAGAGGTTACAATTTGCCAAAGAGCACATTGACTGGCCTAAAGAGAAATGGCGCAACATTTTGCGGACTGATGAAAGTAAGATTGTTCTTTTTGGGTCTAGTGGCCGGAGACAGTTTGTCATACTATTATTATATTATTATTATTATTACATTGAGTTTATATAGCGCCAAAGGGTTTGCTCAGCGCTGTACAATAGGGGGGGGACAATACATGGCACAGTACAACAATAACAAACAACGTACGAGGGGTAAGAGGGCCCTACTCTTTTGAGCTTACAATCTAGGAGGGAGGGGGTAAAGGTACAGTAGGAAGTGGCTGAGGGGAATGAGGGGTGGGAGGAAAGAGGGAGAATGGCCGTTAGGTGAGGGTGGGGTAAGCTTCCCTGAAGAGATGGGTTTTGAGGGGAGCGCCTGAATGTGAAGAGGGAAGGCGACAGTCTGATGGATTGGGGCAGTGAGTTCCAGAGGATGGGGGAGGACCTGGAGAAGTCCTGCAGTCGTGCATGGGAGGAGGAGACCAGGGAGCAGGATAGAAGGAGGTCCAGTGAGGAGCGAAGGGTACGGGTAGGACAGTACTTGGGGATCAGGTTGGTGAGGTAGTCAGGGGCAGTGTTTTGAACGGCTTTGTAGGTCAGGGTTAGAAAGTTTAAATTTGATGCGTTGGGCAATCGGGAGCCAGTGGAGGGAGAGGCAGAGGGGGGTGGCAGAGGTGGAGCGGGTGGTGAAGTGGATGAGTCTAGCCGCTGAGTTCAGGATGGTCTGGAGCGGGGAGAGCCTGCACTTGGGTAGGCCGGTGAGAAGAGAGAATTACAGTAGTCAAGGCGTGAGATGATGAGGGAGTGTACTAGAAGTTTGGTGGTGTCTGGGGTGAGGAGGGTACGTATCTTGGCAATGTTGCGGAGATGGAGCCTGCATGTGTTTGTGAGTGATTTTGACATGCGGTTGGTAGGAGAGGTTAGAGTCAAGAATGACGCCAAGGACTTTGGCTTGCGGGGCAGGAGTGATAGTGGAGTTGTTGGTGATGATGGATGGGGGGGGGGGGGGGGGGGGGGGACTCCAATGGTGGGCAGGGGAAAGACGAGGAGCTCGGTTTTGGAGAGGTTGAGCTTGAGGAAATGTAGCGACATCCAGTCTGAGATGTCATTTAGGAGGTGAGTGATGCGGGCGGAGATAGTGGGGGTGAGGAGAGGAATGGAGAGGTAGATTTGGGTGTCGTCAGCGTAGAGGTGATAGTTGAAGCCGTGGGAGTGTATGCGTTTGCCCAGGGAGGAGGTGTAGATGGAGAAGAGAAGGGGTCCAAGGACAGAGCCTTGGGGGACCCCAACAGAGAGGGGGAGGGAGGGGGAGGTGGCACCATTGTAGGTGACACTGAAGGAGCGTCGGGATAGGTAGGATGAGAACCAAGAGAGAGCGGTATCTCTGATGCCAAGGGAGAGTCAAACGACCCCCAAACACTGAATTCAAGCCACAGTACACTGTGAAGACAGCGAAGAACGGTTGCCAAGCATCATGATATGGGGATGTTTCTCATACTACGGTGTTGGGCCTATTTATCGCATACCAGGGATCATGATCAGTTTGAATACATCAGAATACTTGAAGAGGTCATGCTGCCTTATGCTGAAGAGGAAATGCCCTTGAAATGGGTGTTCCAACAAGACAACGACCCAAACACACCAGTAAACGGGCAACATCTTGGTTCCAGACCAACAAGATTGACGTTATGGAGTGGCCAGCCCAATCCCCGGATCTTAATCCAATAGAAAACTTGTGGGGTGACATCAAAAAATGCAGTTTCTGAGGCAAAACCAAGAAATAGAGAAGAACTGTGGAATGTAGTCCAATCATCCTGGGCTGGAATACCTGTTCACAGGTGCCAGAAGTTGGTGACTCCATGCAACACAGATGTACAGCAGTTCTCAGAAACAGTGCTTATACAACCAAATATTCATTAAGTGATTCAAAGGAAAGCAAAATCTTCAAACATTTTTCAGTTTATATAGTGAATGTTTGAGTTTGTAAAGAAGAATACAAACACTGCTATTTTTTGAACAGTCTAATATTCACTTTTCTTCAAATTTTTCTTCATGTTTTGATTTGGAATAGAAAGTGTAGTGTTCCCAATGCATTTGTGTGTATGGAAATAAAAGCTATTAGAAGGATTTATTCACATATATTATATATATATATATATATATATATGTACATATACAGTATATCTGTTCGATTGTAACCAGCACTCTACAATACTGTGAGTCAGCTTTCTGGGCACCATGTCTGATATGCTTAACAGCCTTTTTCCATATAATTTTTACAAAGTAGGTCACCGGATCTTTCCTGAACCCTCTTCAATTGCTCAACTTGGGACTGGCATGCAAAATGTGATAGCCAATTCGAACAAACATGCTGGGGACAATTTAGATAAGAGTCAATTAACCTACCAGCACATCTTTGGAGTGTGGGAGGACATCCATGAAAATATACATACTCCATGCAGACAGGGTCCTGGCCAAAATTTGAACTGATGATTCCAGTTCTGCAAACTAAAAGGATTAACTACTGGGCCACTGTGCAGCCCCAGTCAGGTACTACATAGGTACAAGATACAATTAGGGCCGGTGCTAGACTATTTTGCGCCCTAGGTAAGACAAGCTACTTCTGCTTGCACCCCCACCCCCCCCAAAAAAATAATAAATAAAACATGTTAAAAACAGAAATATTAAATTAAAAAAACATGAAGCTGCTAAATTTCTTTTAATTTGCAAAAATAAGTGCCATAAGATGCCACCAGCACCAATAGTAAAGACGGACTGTCCCTGTGGCTGGCAGTGGCAGGGTGACAGTTGCAGTGAGTGGAGGATGATGGATCCGTACTCTGACAGATCTCAGGCTGGAATTCCTTAGGCAATGGGGGGAGATAAAACACTGTGACAGCAGACAACACACACACACACACACACACACACACACACACACACACAGAGAACACCTGAACTGAGCGATCCCACACAGTGACAGATCCAACACAGCATACCATCACCAACACTGACACAGATCAGCAGGTCCAGCAGGCTCTAGAAGAGCAGGCTGGGGGATCATGATGATGTCATCACTCACTGACACATTGCACATGTGATGGGTGGCCAGCTGGCCGGGTCACACTCACACAGACACAAGACATCAGAGTCAGATATTACCTTCCTCCGCAGGCGCAGCTCTGCCTTCGCTGATGAATGGAAAGAGAAAGACTGGAACACCACAGTGAATAGCAGCCATCAGCCAGCTTGCAGTACGGGACTGAGTCTGAGAGGAACACTGGAAGGAGCAGCAGCTCAGCTGCTACACTGGCCCCAAACACAGGGCATCTTCCTCTGTCCTTTCTTCTTCCCCTCTACCGCCCCTCCCCTCAGCTGGAGGATCATTCATGACGTGGCCCAGGCGCACCTAGTTTATTTAGTGGAAGTACCTGCTCTGGATACAATACAAGATTTGCAAAGAAAACCTAAAGTTGTATTTTATATGTTGTTACCCAATGAAAGGTTTAAATCTACTCACTGGAGACTATGTAACAAGGAGCCTAAAAACAAAGGTATGGATTGTAAAACAAGTCACACAAATGGCAACGGCACTTTCAGCTTAACAAATAGTAAGGATTCTGGTTTAAGCAGACTAAAACATACACTATATTTCTGAAACATCTGTCAATTTACTGTAAAAGCTTTTATCCTGCTGGTAGGTTAATTGGATCCTGTCTAAATTGTCCCTAGTATGTGTATGTATGAATGTGAGTTAGGGACTTTAGATTGTACAACCCCTTGAGGGTTAGGGACTGATGTGAATGTACAATATATATGGAAAGCACTGCGTAAATTGACAGAGCTATATAAGTACCTGTATTAAATTATTAAATTAAATTATTATCCTGCTATGGCTAGAGTTTGCCCACATAACGCACAAGGTGAGAATAATGCAGCAGGTGGTATCCTCTGGGATCAGAGTGAAATGAGATTCTCATCTCTTCTCTTGCCACCTGTCTCTGTATCAGCACATGATTTCCCCACAGTGTACACAGACAGGTGTGTCAGGGCAGGGACTACTGGTAGGGGTAAGGAACTGGCACCTTGCATTGTGTATATGACACATACTGTACATACAACATTCACTTCTGAGAAGGAGAAAACAAACTGTCCAGGATCTTGTAGAAGGAACAACAAGGGATCCAACCTTCAACTCTCCATACATAACTCACATACTTTGCTTTAAAGGGTCCCTTTCTAGGATACATTTGATTCAAAATCAATTATAAGTTATATTTTCCAAATCATAGATAAATAGATAGATAATAGATAGATAGATAGATAGATAGATAGATAGATAGATAGATAGATAGATAGATAGATAGATATGGAGAGATAGATAGATAGATAGATAGATAGATAGATAGATAGATAGATAGATAGATAATGGAGATAGATAATGGATCGATCGATAGATAGATAATGTAGAGATAGATAGATAGATAGATAGATAGCAGTGGCATACCTAGCATATCTTGCACCAGGGGTAGATCTTTTTTTTTCTACACCCCCCCATCCCAATCCAGTCAATAAAATTATTTTATTTGATCAAAATTACTTAACTATGCAGAGACACTGAACTTAGCATATCAATCTGCTTGATTTTCAATAATTTGGAGATGCTATCTCCTGCACTGTTACCAACACAGATATGAAAATGCTTAGGGGGGGACACACTAAAGGTATGAAGAAGAAAAATACATTGTGCATAGCCTGCCAAACACCTGGAGGCATGGCCAAGAAGATGGGTGTTGCGGCATGTGGCTTGTAGTGTGGGAGTAAAATCAGCCCCAGCATCGGGGTCACTGCCAACCATAATAAACCCCAGAATCAGTGCATGTGACCACAATAATCACGCTTGATTGGTGGTCAGTGGTGAAAATATTAACCCCCAATATTGGTACTCAGTGCCAGGCTCATCCACCCCCTGTCAGCATTAGTGGCCAGTGACTGGGGCAGAAATAGCAAGTCAACTGAATTTAAGTCATGAATCTAAATGGTACTGTATAAAGAAATCATGCTCAATTCAGACTCCTCCATAATGGTGGTATGTCATTTGTGGAGGCGATACTCAAGACTTTGGTCATGTGGGTACCCCCGAATGCTGTTACCCAGGAGGTATGCCACAAATAGATAGAGAGAACGATTGATAAAGAGAAAGAGAGAGATTGATTGAGCGATAGAGAGGGAGAGATCGACAGAGATAGATAGATAGATAGGTAGATAGATAGATAGATAGATAGATAGATAGATAGATCGATCGATAGATAGATGGATAGATCGACAGATAGAGATGGATAGATCGATCGATAGATGGATGGATGATGGATAGATAGATAGATAGATAGGATGGATAGATGGATAGATAGATAGATAGATAGATAGATGTGAAATGGTGTCTCCTTACTCACCAGGATGGTCAGTACCAGATTCTGGAAGTGTTTTCGCAGGTTGTCTGCAGCATGTGTGCAAAAAAGGACAAAATTGCTCTGCTGAAGCTGATAAATTTAAAAAACAGAATACACATTGAGAAAACCCTGTAACTGGACATTCTTTCTCCACCACGGGGGAAAGGTAGTGGCCTAATCATTAAAAATCAAAGATTTCCATAGACATGGGAAGACATTGTGAATATATTAGTGAGAACATTGAATAAACATGCACACAGGTATGGCAGACAATGCGTGGCCTTGCAGTGTGGACACCCCCTGGGCTGTAGAGCAGTGGTGATTTGCTTCAGAAACAACTGAGTACTGTCCGTGATACTTTTTTTGTTTGTGCTAGCATACAGTTTTTGAGGACAAGCATTTAGGGTGTACCCTCTTGTTTAAAGTGGGACTGCACTACATCTGAGCTCCACAAACCAAAAATGCTAATTCACTGTTAATATTCAAAGCAAACTCCCCAATCCATTCATGTCTCCATGCTTCATTTTGATGAGAAATCATTTTGAAAAACACCCCCCAGGCATTTCCGGCAGTGGCCATCTTGAGTAAGGGCAGATGATTGGTGTAGCATTTACTTCATGGAATCCATTTGCCCTTAGCTCAGGCATTGGCTGAGCTGAGAGCCCTCTGTTCTGCCAGTCTCCTAGACAATCTTTGGGTGCCTGTGCTCATCCATTGGCTGGTACCCACTGGCTTCTCCTGCGCCCAGGAAGCGCTGAATCACATTTATATACGTGACTCTGCACAGAGTGGCTGCCCTGTGACAGTATATCTGCTATGGGGTGGTCGGCAAATGGTTAAACTAGAACTCCTCCATATCTGACATTAATTGCAAATTGTCCAATTTGGTGGTTGGGCAGATTATGAGGCCTTTGGAGATGACTGTTATTTCAGGCTCTAAAACTTTATGATTTGATAAACCGACATCCTGCCAGGAGATGTACCATAGTCCTGATGAAGGGGGGGGGGGGTGTCTGCACTCCTGAAATGCGTTTGATTTCTTTTTTATTGATTTTTCTATAAATTACTGCTTTGGATTCTTGGTGTGGCACTCCTCCTTTGTGTATATGATGACCATAATGACAGCCTAGAAATTTCCACTTTTATAAAACCCACAAGTAAAATCCTCTAAAGTGTTACTAAAACCCAGGACCCTGTATTCACTATATCTGATTTCCCACAGTACACAGAACATGGAAATGCAATTATTTTAGTAAATATAAACTTTTAATACCTTTTCTCATCAGCCGTATATAACAGTCTTGTGACTTCTACGAGTGTCCAGCTGAGCACTGGTTAATCTTGTAGGAGGAGTTTTCATTCTCCTCTGACTGTCCTTTGAGGCTGCATGACCCCTCACCCTCTGTCTGGACAATGCTGATTGGCAATGTGCCGATCACATGTATCCTCTCCCAAAAAACCTCTTTAGCAATACACACCAAATTGAGCATATGCAGAGTGTCTCCTAGGAGCTCTGTACTATCAGCAGATGGATTGGGGACTGTGGAAGAAAGGGAGGATCAGAGAAGACAGGATCAAACAGCCTTTTTACACAATGCAGATGATTAACCCCTTAGGTCCCACTAGTGTGTATAACAAGCATGCTTTACTGCATATACAGACTGATTTTACTGTTGTGGGTTTAGTAACACTTCAAGTCGCTACATATATCCATTTTGCGCCTGGCTTAGTAAATCCTCTCTGCACGGTATATTTATTAGCATATTATTACTGTACAGTGCAGGGAAGATTTACTAAACCAGGTTTATTATACAGTGGCTATAAACAGCCATAGGAAGCAAGGTAGGTCACAGAAGAGATATGACGGAACTTTTTATTAGGGCTGCGGATGTAAATAGAAATTTACAGTGCTGGTGCCCCATCACACCTCGTCCACTACTCCACCCTTTCTCAGCCTGTTATCTCTGCACCCGGATGCCACAAAACAGCCATTACCTGAACAGCAGCTGAAATAAGCAGGAAGGAGGATATCAGGTAAAGGTACGGCCCGTGCTGCATCGACTGTCTGAAACCGCTACAAAAAGGCATAACCATGCCAGGCTGGAATGCAAAGGGATCTGTAAAATACAAATCTCCTGATTATCACCTGGACTTGGTGCTGGTCATTTTAAAAGCTGGGATAGAATTATTTGGAATATTAAAAAAAAAAAAAAATAGTTACTCACCATCTTTTTCTTTGACCCCCAGAAAGAGTACTGCAGTGCAGAACAAATAGACACAGCCAATGACTCCCGCTGCAATCATGTAGACGTTCCTCTAGACAAAAATATCACAAAGAGTCAAGATGGAAATCACAAGATGAATATGAGAGGGGATGGTGTTGTATGTATTCCCCTTCTGTGCCCTATCCTTGTCTTTTCTTCTCTCTCTCTCTCTCTCTCTCTCTCTCTCTCTCTCTCTCTCTCTCTCCTCTCTCTCCCCCTCCCTCTCTCTCTCTCTCTCTCTCTCTCTCTCTCTCTCCCTCTCCCTCTCTCTCTCTCTCTCTCTCTCTCTATATATATTTATTTATTTTTCTTTCCTTTTGTGGATTTTCTGATCTTATACTTTTGCCCCTTTTGGGGCCTCTCTTCTGTCTAAAATGGAAAATGTGTGATGCAGCTGGAGGCACAGGTACCCTTCTGATCTAGAGTTAACTGTCCTTAAAATATTTTGATCATCTTTTATGTGCTGTGTTTCAGGGGCATCCCTAGGGTTGGTGTCACCCGATGCAGGAACACTTGGTGACACCCCCTCCAATGATCCCCGCAGGATGGATCGGATCTGCGGATTGAGCATAATGCATCAGAGTCCGATCCATTATCCTCCCCAAACCGCAGATCCGATCCATCCTGCAGGGATCATCGGCTTGCAATTTGTACGGAGTTAACTGATCGCTCCACGAAAAGGTAAGTTTTAAAGCAAGCCACGATCCCCACAGGATGGATCAGATCTGCAGATTAAACATAATCTGATCCATTATCCTCCCCAATCCGCAGATCCGATCCATCTTGCGGGGATCGTCGGCTTGCTTTAAAACGTACCTTTTCGTGGAGCTTTTGGAGAGATCAGATAACCCCGTATAGGTTGCAAGCCGATGATTCCCACAGGATGGATCAGATCTACATATTGGGGAGCATAATGGATCAGACTCTTAGTTACATAGTTACATAGTTAGTTCGGCCGAAGAAAGACAAAAGTCCATCCATTTCAACCATAGAAAAAAAAAAAAGTTATAATCCTACACCCACAGTTAATCCACAGGAAGGCAAAAAAAAAACCCCAGCAAAGCATGATGCAACTTGCACCTGCTGGGAAAAAAATTCCTTCCTGATCCCCCGAGATGCAACAGTCCACAGTGTAGTCCTGATCTTACATAGTTAGTCTGGCTGAATAAAGACAAAAGTCCATCCAGTTCAACCATAAAAAAAAAGTTCTAATCCTACACACCACAGTTGATCCAGAGGAAGGCAAGAAACCCAGCAAAGCATGATCCAATTTGCTCCTGCTGGGGAAAAAATTCCTTCCTGATCCCCCGACAGGCAATCAGATATTCCCTGGATCACCTATAAATGTTAGTATCCAGTTATATTCTGTGTATCTAAGAAAGAATCCAGGCCTTTTTTAAAGCAATCCACTGAGCTGGCCAGAACCAACTCTTGAGGGAGTCTATTCCACCACATTTTCACAGCTCTCACTGTGAAGAAACCTTTCTGTGTTTTGGAGATTAAATTTCTTTTCCTCCAGACGTAAAGAGTGCCCCCTTGTCCTCTGTGATGACCTCAGGGTGAATAACTCTACACCAAGTTCACTATATGAACCACTGATGTATTTATACATGTTGATCATATCCCCCCCTATGTATACATGGAGATCATATCCCCTCTTAATCTCCTCTTCTCAAGAGAGAATAAATTCAGTTCCTCTAATCTTTCCTCATAGCTGATCTCCTCCATGCCTCTTATCAGTTTGGTTGCCCTTCTCTGTACTTTCTCCAGTTCCCCAATGTTCTTTTTTGTGAATTGGTGCCCAAAACTGAACTGCATATTCCAGATGAGGTGTTACTAATTATTTGTACGGGGTAATATGATATCTCTCTCTCTGGAGTCTATACCTCTTTTAATACAAGAGAGGATTTTGCTCTCTTTAGAAGCCGCAGCTTGGCATTGCATGCCATTATTAAACTTGTGATCTCACTAGAACCCCAGATCCTTCTCCACCATTGATTCCCCCAGTTGTACCCCCCTAGTATGTATGATGCATGCATATTCTTAGCCCCCCAAGTGCACAACCTTACATTTATCAACATTAAACCTCATTTGCCGCATAGTTGCCCAACTAAACAGTGCATTGAGATCGGCATGTAAATTGGAGACATCCTGTAAGGACGTTATTTCACTGGACAGCTTGGTGTCATCTGCAAAGACTGAAATGGGATTTTTAATCTCAGACCCTATATGGTTTAGAAATCTATTAAAAAGTAAGGGCCCCAATACTGAACCCTGGGGTACACCAACTCTGATCCATTATGTTCAATCCGCAGATCCAATCCATTCTGTGGGGATCGTCGACTTGCTTTTAAACTTACCTTTTCGTGGACCGGGTCCGGTGTCACCCCCCGTGCGATAGGTGTCACCCAGTGTGGTGCACACCCCCCGCACCTGCCTAGGGACACCCCTGCTATGTTTTGCCTTGAGTGATTACGCTCCAGAGTACAATGATCTTTTAGAATCTGGTCTACATCCTATTTGTCTTTGATCTAAGATGACTTACTGTTGATATTTGTTGTAATATGTTTCTGTTTGTGGTATATCTCTTTGGATACTGTTATGCTTGTACTGATGTCAAAAGCTGCAACTAAATAAAGAATTAATTAAAAAAAAGAAGATGAATATGATGTCTTTGCCGGGCCACTTTGTATGAGCTGTAACAATGCTGGATCCTCTGGATCAACTGTGGGTATAGGATTATAACTTCTTTTGTTTTTTAACCTCCCTAGCGGTCTGATTATGTCAATATTTCTGTGCTCAAAGCGGTACATTTTTTTGCATGGAAATATGTATTTTTTTATTTGTATGCCTGTCATTTTTAAGAATAACTCACTGAAATTTGTCTGAACAAGAGTCTAGTATACATCCCGGGTATGTTAAACTTTGAAACACAAAATCATAAATTATAATTTAATAAATAATCATAAAAAATAATAATATAATAATAAATTTAATTCAATAGTATGTAATCAAACCAAAAACACTGACATTTGAAATATAGCGCCAAGTTCACACATCACTGAGCAAAGTCGCAAAATCGTTTTCAGTGCCTGATGACGAATTTCCCCGCGAATCATTATCACTCAATTCTGCAAGTGATTCTGAATTTACTATCACTGTTCTCTAGCTGGTCTAAAACCGATTTTTGACCTAAAGGGACGCTTTTTTGGACGCCATGGACGTTTCTCAGTTTCCAGGCAGAAAGAACAGCAAAAATGCAGGCAGGGCAAGGGCAAAGCACTAGGGACAAAATGTATGTGAAATGGTTTGATACAGTAATGTTTTACTATGTGATTTTTAGTGTATTTAGTGAATGTCACTATTTGTCATTTTCAAATTTCCTGCCGTTCCGTCCCCCCATACGTCCCGACGTCGCAGGGAACGGAACCCAGAAGACAGATGCCGGCATCTGCCGGAGGACATTACAGGGAACACTGCAGGAGGGACATCGCGGGAGCGCAGGACATGGTAAGTGAAGAAGAGATCCCGGAGCAGCGCCGCATGGTAAGCCCAAGTGTAGTTCGGGGTCACCGCTTGTGGTGCTGAAACTTTACCCCGAGCTACACTCGGGAATACCGCCAGGGAGGTTAATGGTTGAACTGGATGGACTTTTGTCTTTTTTCAGCCAGACTAACTATGTAACTATGTAATGCTGCATATGGCAGGTTATAATCTGCGTTACAAGAATTCACCCCTGGGTGCATACTGCCCTAAACCTTAGTATGCTGGTTGTACTGTCCATCCCCATCCAGCTGCTTCAGCTGTCAGTCTCTCATAGATTTTTACACAGGCTACTTGCAAGGGATTGACCAGGGCACCTGTTCCCTCCGCAGGCAGGTAAACACCAGAATCTCATGCACCGGGGATAACAGCCTTAGCCTCAGAAATCAGATCTCTGCAGATGAGGGTAGACCTGTATTTTTATGGGGAAGGCCTTCTACTGCAAGCAAATACATTGTGTATAGTGGCCAGTTTGTTGACCAGTCCAGCAATGACCCTCCCTCTGGCGTCCTGTGCATGTGAAATCAGAACGAGAGAGGAACAGGTATAACCAGCAGGGCCATGGATAAGGTGGTACCACCAGTCCTCATGTACGGGGCCCAAGCCAGTAGGGGGGCCCAGGCAGCTGGGTGAATTGGATGTAGGCAGGTGATTGGCACGGCAGGGGACAATTACTGGAACAGATCCCCTGTATGGCTCTCTCTGCAGCAGCTGAAAGCTGGCTTCTTCTCCTCTCCTTCCTGCCTGCTTTCTGCTGCTGCTGAGAGAGGCATACAGGGGATCAGTCAAGTAATAGCCCCCTGGCGTTCCGATCACCCTCCCTCTGTGCACCATACATCCCTGTGTGTGTCACCCCCCTAACCCTGCAGTGCTTCCGGCTTCTCTCCTCTCTGTCCCACCATCAGCTGTAGGCACACAATAGGATCCTTTTTATTGGATGAACTTGTGTCTTTTTTCAACCAGACTACCTATGTAACTATGGATCCTTCAAGATGGAGAGTGGAGAAAAGATCTGGTAAATACAGTGGGGATCGAAAGTTTGGGCACCCCAGCTAAAAATTTGTATTAATGTGCATAAAGAAGCCAAGGAAAGATGGAAAAATCTCCAAAAGGCATCAAATTACAGATTAGACATTCTTATAATATGTCAACAAAAGTTAGATTTTATTTCCATCATTTACACTTTCAAAATAACAGAAAACAAAAAAATGGCGTCTGCAAAAGTTTGGGCACCCAGAGTTAATATCTTGTACTGCCCCCTTTGGCAAGTATCACAGCTTGTAAATGCTTTTTGTAGCCAGCCAAGAGTCTTTCAATTCTTGTTTGAGGTATCTTTGCCCATTCTTCCTTACAAAAGTCTTCCAGTTCTTTGAGATTTCTGGGCTGTCTGTCACGCACTGCTCTTTTAAGGTCTATCCATAGATTTTCAATTATGTTGAGGTCAGGAGATTGTGAAGGCCATGGCAAAACCTTCAGTTTACGCCTCTTGATGTAATCCCCCGTGGATTTCGAGGTGTGTTTAGGATCATTATCCATTTGTAGAAGCCATCCTCTCTTTAACTTCAGCTTTTTCACAGATGGCATCAAGTTACCATCCAAAATTTGCTGAAATTTTATTGAATCCATTTTTCCTTCTACTCGTGAGATGTTCCCTGTGCCACTGGCTGCAACACAACCCCAAAGTATGATTGATCCAACCCCATCCAACAGTTGGACAGAGGTTCTTTTCATTAAATTCTGTGCCCCTTCTTCTCCAAACGTACCTTTGCTCATTCTGGCCAAAAAGTTCAATTTTAACCTCATCGGTCCACAGAACTTGTTTCCAAAATGCATCAGGCTTGTCTATATGTTCATTTGCAAAGTTCAAACGATGATTTTTGTGGTGAGGACGTAGAAGAGGTTTTCTTCTGATGACTCTTCCATGAAGACCATATTTGTACAAGTACTGTATCTCTTTATAGTGGAATAGTGTACCACAACTCCAGTGTCTGCCAGATCTTTCTGGAGGGATTGTGCAGTCAAAGGTGGGTTTTGAATTGTTTTTCTCACAATCCTGCAAGCTGTTCTGTCTGATATTTTTCTTGGACTTCCAGATCTTGCTTTAACTTCCACTGTTCCTGATGACTGCCATTTCTTAATTACATTTCGAACAGAGCATATTGACATCTGAAAACGCTTTGCTATCTTCTTATAGCCTTCTCCAGCTTTGTGAGCGTCAACTATTTTCAGTTTCAGTTTTCTAGACAACTGCTTAGAAGAACCCATGGTGCTGATTGTTGGGGCAAGGTCAGATGAGTCTGGGCATTTAAAACCTTTGAGATTGACATCACCTGTCTTCCCAGACGATGATTGGGAACAATCCATGACACTGGCAGGTCTCAGCTTGGCAAAGGGGGCAGTGCATGCTATAAATTCTGCAGGGTGCCCAAACTTTTGCAGATGCCATTTTTTTTTGTTTTCTGTTATTTTGAAAGTGTAAATGATGGAAATAAAATCTAACTTTTGTTGACATATTATAAAAATGTCTAATCTGTAATTTGATGCCTTTTGGAGATTTTTCCATCTTTCCTTGGCTTCTTTATGCACATTAATACAAATTTTTAGCTGGGGTGCCCAAACTTTCGATCCCACTGTATGTCTTATTTACCAGTCCTTTCATTTCTTGAATGGATACAATGAGTGATTGGCAATGATCACTCGCTGTATTCATTCATAACTGAACCATTGGAAAATGTGTTTATTTGGGGAAAAGGGGGGCCCTGTCAGGTTGGCTGTATGGTGCCCATTGGTTTCTAACAGTAGCCCTGGTCATCCCCCTAACCCTGCAGTGCTTCTGGCTTCTCTTCTCTCTTTCCCACTGTCAGCTGTAGGCACACAATAGGATCCTTTTTATTGGATGAACTTGTGTCTTTTTTCAACCAGACTACCTATGTAACTATGGATCCTTCAGGATGGAGAGTGGAGGAAGGGTCTGGTAAATATGTCATATTTACCAGTCCCTCCATTTCTTGAATGGACACAATGAGTGATTGGTACGACCACTCACTGTATTCTTTCATAACACAACCATAGGAAAATGTGTTTATTTGGGGGAAAGGGGGGCCCCATGGTTTCTAAATGCAGTCCTGATAACCAGGACAGAATGACAGCAACAAAAACAAAATTGTATTTCCTCACCACTAACATATTGTCTACTTGAAGGCCAGCCTCAGTTTTAGATGAGCACTTGTAAGCAGGTGCTTGTGAGGTGTCATTGTATTTATTTCTGCCATTGTATCCATAGCAACGTGTAGTTATATAGACAGTTACAGGCTACCTGGGATGGGAAGGGGTTAACCGTGTCTAAATTCTTTCCCGGCTTTCTGAGCCCTGCCCCCTGTTATAGCCACATAAATACAAGGGGGAGGGCAAAACAACCCCAAACACTTCAGAGCTTTGTAAGCCTTGCTGGAGCATATGGTTCCCCTGGGTCACCCTGCTGGGATTCTCCATGGACTAGGAACCTACCATCACTGGACTTTTGCTGAATGGACTTTGCTTCCCTGGGGAAGGTATGAACCTTCTGGCAGCCTGCATTAGTTAGATCACACTGCTTTGTGCAAATTCAAAGCTGATTATTCAGTGCGACTTCATTGTGGCTTGCTCTGTGCGACTTCATGTAACAGATGTCAATGTAAGTTGCAATGAAGTCGCTGTGCCTTGAGTTGCACTGATTTGAACAGTTCCATTGCTGCTGATGGGGTGTGATTTATCATGCGACTTTGAACTCTCAAGTGGCATGACATGTCACACTGGTGTGAACCAGGGCTAGAGGAACTCGACAAGGCAGGAAAATGAGAGCTGCGCCTGCTGAATTCAGTTTCTTTGCTTCACTAACTCCAAAAAACACCGCATGTGCAGAATGTGAGAAATGACACACAGAGCTAGATTGGCTGCCCCACAGTTTACACATGGAGTGTAGCTTCCCCACTGTGGGGGGTGGACTCCCAATTTGATTGCCAAATCTTCCAACTGTCAAAGGTTGACAACTTTATTCATAAATGAGTGCTTGTAGTGCAAGGGCAAGACAGTTTCCCCCCACACGGCTAGGATACCTGCTGGGTGACTTGCAGGATCTGTCCGCTTGTGGCAGGGCCTGGTAGCACAAATCACATATACCCAGTGAAGAGACTATCATCAGGTGATACACAGAGATGAAACAAATCCTCCTACATAAGTTGTACCTGTTTATCTGCAATGTTTTCTTCTCTACATCCATTCAAAGTGCTGAATTTATAAAGCTTATCTGAGAGTTCAGAAAAAAATGGGATGGAAAGCTCTGAGAGCTGATTGGAAGAAAAACACACACCCACCCCTCCACACAGTTCACAGGAATAAAGTTGAGGCTGTCAATCTGCTGGAGGTCCCTCCCCTGTCACCAGTTTTCTCTTGGTGTCAGGAAAACTTGTCAGAAGTGATTCATGCTGATAGCAGAGGAACAAAGCAGCAGACAAGAATGACACTTAGTACTCTGAATTGAGACAGGTACAATCGATTGTAGCAGGATATGCTTTGTTCATATTTTCATGTCTGAGGTTTACAACCACTTTAACCTCACTACTTTCACTGTAGTGTTTCATATATAACAGTCGTATACACAAGTAGCAGTTCTGAGGGATAGTGCTACCTTCCCTCAGAGCAACCTGCCACAGTCCTCAAGTTTGTTTGGTGCTGTCCCCCCTACTAGTTGCATAACAGAGCCAAAGTGGTGCCCCCCATGGTCTCCAAAGTAAAATCCTTTTTATAGACCAGGCCAAGAGTGAAAATAATAAAAAATGCGCCTCTGGGACTATTTTTCCCATGAGAAAAGTATTCCTCCACTAACCCTTAAACTATTTCCCATAAAGATAAGCACTATTTCCCACTGACCCCCTAAAAGCACTATTCCCCACTGAAAGCCATCAATGCACATTCCTCCCATGACGCCATCAATGGCACTATTCTTCCCCCGCACACAAGGGACTATTCTTCCCACTACCCATCAAAGCACATTTTCCCACTACCCATCAACACTATTCTTCCCAACGCCATCAATCACTATTCTTTTCCC